AAATCAAAGATGTTTCCGACCCACAATCTAATAACGCGCGGAAAGTTTGATAGACACCTCGGCTATCTTGAATAGCTACCAGTGCGGTAGATAACAAGACTGGGGAAGTTTGATTTAGAAAAGTTGAACAAGTATTGACGTTTAGTGATCGTGGATCATCCTTTGGTTCATTTGTGAGAGAAGTGGGTGAATTTGAATTCTGCGAGGCGGCAGTGACCCCGAGCGGCGGCACCGAGGATTCCGATGGTGACGTAGTAGTTATGTGGTCGCTATGTAGCGCAGTGTGATGTTTTCGACCACAACGACCGCAGCTATAAGTCGACCCACAATTGCGGGTCTCATGATAATTACTCAGGCAATTTAAGCATAATCGTTGATTTTTACAATATTGATATCTTTCAGATTGCGGTTTATTTAAAAAGGTGGAACATTTGAAGAGTAAATGATTTTCCTTACATAAAATACATTTATGATTGGGTTTTGTCTGACTCGTGCGAGCTAGAAACGTAGAGTGTGAAGGCGAATAAGGCGAAGATGGAGATCGAAAGCGGGAATTTGCGGACGTACTCGGAGAAGATGTCGGGGAACCCGTGAAACGATGTCCAGGAGCGTACGGTACTTTTTTGGTTTTGGGTAAACCTGTATAATTCGCGGCTTCTAAAGCAATACAATGCTGGTTTAAAAACTTTACCACAGTGGCGTAAGTGGGAATATCCGTTGACCCATGTTCTTTCTCGAAAGCTTTCAACGTATCTACGTCGAGTCGTTTAAGCATCATGTTGACAAGAATGAAATCCCATGATTCCGTAGGAAATTGCATATTCTTGAGACCGGCTAAATTTTCGTTAAATATATATATATAGAGTTTGCGGATTATCAGAGAGTAATTTTGAACAATTTTCAATTTCGGACCAGTATGAATTGGCTTGTAAGCGTCTATTTGAATATCTCTTCATCAAAGTGTCGTAGGCGTTAGTATAATTGGAGGCGGTCATGGGTAAGCATTGAACTAAATGTAGCGGCGGTCCTTTCAAAGCGGAAATCAAATAATTAAATTTCTCAATATCTTGCAAAGAATCATTATTGTGAACTAGTGCCTCATACATATCCCGAAAAGTGGGAAATTCCCGATATTCACCGGAAAATTTTATCAACTCAATTTTTGGAAGTCGAAAGTGCTGGTTGGCGGAAGCGGGATTTGGACCAGTCATATTATGAGCACTCAACGGTTCTTCAAATAATTCAGCATAAATAGCTCGAGCGAGGTAATAAGATTCATTGAAAGCTTCTTTGATTGCGTCTTCAGCGTCCAAATCTACGGCGTTATCAGTCGATAATAAAGTAATAATATTCGAATGTTGCTTCAAAAATTCAGTTTTTATTTTATCCGCGTCTTCGTATCGTATTTTGAATATTATTCTTTGCGATTTATCTAATCTGGCATTGGCAGCTAAATTCGTCAAAACAGCTATCTCATTTCCACAGCTGGTACGCAGGGCTTTGTAACGACGTAGTTTTTCAGCTTTATCTGCCATATCTAAAAAGTCCAGAATAAAAACAACGGGTACAGGTATTTATGTATCGATACAATATCGAACACCTCGACCTTGAATAGCGGAAATCTACGATTTCGAATGAATTTTCAAATTTGCGTGCGCAGGGTGGGGAGTAGTACACTGGCGCACCAACCAGAAGCTGCGCAAGCGCTTTGACGAGCTTATACCGGTACCGGCAAGCGTGCTGAAAATGGCGCTTGTTGAAAAGTGCTAATGATTTACCATTTGCCTGCCAAGATTTTCAGGAGCTTAAATTGTTGAATTTTCAACTAAATTGAGAAATAAGAATGGAAAATGATCAGAATTCTGTGTACAAGATTATTGAATGCACATCTCCCCAATTTTAATCTGACAGAAAAGAAAAATAAAATTTTAGTTTTTTTTTTTTTTTTTACATAAGTATATGTATTTTTCCAATTCCAGACAATGCCATAAGGGCCTTATCCGGCTCGAAGGACCAAATTATATGTGCGTAATTCAATTCGAAAATCTCAGAAATGAGAGATAAATAGATTTTCACCATAGGGGCGCATTAGTAATTAGTGATTGGGGCGAAAGGGCGGAGATGCAATCCGTAAGCTTGAGATGAGTATGAATAAGATATCGAATCCTTAAACAGCTTACCTCGAAGTCCTGAATTTTGAGGCTCTTTCTGGATGCTTCAGAGTTCTCTCTGGTTACGGAAGTGTGCTGGGGGCCCCCTCCAGGATAATCCAGGTAATTGCGTGTCGGCGATATTCCAACTATGGCAACACTCACAAAGTAGTTCAGATAGGAACCAAAACAATGAAAACCATTTCACATAAATTTCCCGTGAAACCGGCGAAGCGAAATCTATTGAGGCATCCAAAACTAGAATATATGCCTGCGGAGCCAAAACGATACTAATCCTGTTCTCTCGTTCGATCTTCTTTCAGGTGTGTTTACGATTTTTATCACTCGGTCCGAGTACAAAAAATTATGTAGGTTTTCACTCATTTCGAGCTGTTTAAGGCAAGGTCGCGAGAAACAAAATATGATAGTTCAAATTATGAAAACGGTATTGCATCACCGGGAATAAAATATATAGAAAAAAAACAAATGCATGAAAAAATAACTTATTTTAATCTAAGGCTTAACAGGGATTAACAGCAAATATGTGCAGTTCAATAAAAGGTTTAAAAGATTAGTGCGAAACTGAAACTTATCCTTCAACTCACAAAATGACATGACTTGATAAGAACAACTATTTTATATATTAGATACTAGAGATATGCTACTCAACTAACTCATAAACCCCATAACATTAGAACCCCAGATGATATGTGTTAATGAAAATAGTAGGAATCATTGATAATTCCAACTGACATGAATGCGACTTCTAGAAAATGAATGATGCAATAAGCAATGTTGATGGTGCAAACCCCTTGTAAAAGTATGTAGTGCCCGAGGTAGAACCACATGATGGTATCTTCATAAAAAAAGCCAACAATCTACTGCCAACGAGACATTGATTCAAGTTACTCTTTTGGATGTCAATTTTCAAAAGATGAATATTGAGGTAGATTTCCTCTCCTTCTTCCTATCAATGCATATTTGAGAATTATTCAAATACTTGTGTAGTAAGGACAAATCGAATGATTTGCACCAACATGTCATTCCGTTTAAGACATTCACGGAAATTTACTATTAGAGAGCATAAAAGAAAAACTCGATCGATAGTCAAAGACACCTCGTGGCTGGCAAAGCAAGTGCAAGCAGAAATACAGGCCATCCTGGTCTGCGTACCAGACATTCAGAGAAGGCTCTTCTCGATATGTTCGGACAGCCAACCGCCTCCGAGACTAATCTCAAGATTAACGCTCGAATGTCAGTTGGCCCCATAGAACTGTAACTCAGAGTAGAATGGAAATTGAGGTCTTCTCTACTTCCATATTTCTCTCCAATGCTACGAACGTGGCCGCATTGAAATATAGAGAGGTCCGATAAATATTTCTTTGTCTAACATCCACTTTGTGCCACTGAACTGTTTTTGAATTGAGCAGAGTGTCAAATTTAACGATATCAACGAATGATGTCAAAATAAGTATGATATAATTTGAAATTTCATTTCAAAAATTCTAAATGTTATCAGTCAATGACATTCATGATATAGACATATCCCCTCATTATTACATCGAAAATAGTTCAGTGGCTCAGACTCGATGATAGACAAGGGAATATTTATCGGATCTCTCTATATTTCAATGCGGCCACGTTGGTAGCATTGAAGAGAGAGATGGAAGAGGAGAGAACTTTCCTCTCTCTCGTTCAAGATAGAAAAGAGCTCAATTAAGTTTCATCGAAAGCATTCATGCAAGGGTAAAGAGCCTAGTCAGGCACATGCGCAATTACGTTGTATCAGAACCGGACATGAAACATGGCAATTATTTGATATGGGTTATGTGTATGCGATTGTCGTATGTAATACAACAAATGTATCGATGATTATCACTTATAATTTCCCTAGCAGCAGAATTATCGGAAATTAATTCTGCTGCGTGGGACATTCGGTAAGAAAATTTCATGACTTGGAGTGGCTTTCAATATGATGAGAAGATGAACACTACGACCCATTCTGCGTAAATGTCAAATAAAATTTGACACTTAGGGATAACTCGTTTTTATAACTAATTTGTGAGAAACATTAAATTACAAATTTGTTATCTGAAATCCAATGTTTTCATATCTTTAAATTTAAATGAAACTTAAAGAAACATATTTCCGATGAGTTTATTTTAAAATATGACACACTATATTTTGAAAATGAAGTTGATTTTACATTCTAGTAATTGTTTATTAAAATATCAGGAACATTGAAAACATGAATTCGTTTTCAACCATATCATCTGATATTACATGTCTACATCGTTTCAAATGAAACTTAAGAAACTATATTTCCGATGAGTTTAGTTGAATAAGAAACACTATATTTTTAAAACATTTAAAACATGAATTCGTTTTCAACCATATCATCTGATATTACATGTCTACATCGTTTCAATTGAAACTTAAAAAACTATATTTCCGATGAGTTCAGTTAAATATTACGCACTATATTTTTACAATGGAAGTTGGTTTCACTTTCTTGTAATTGAGGTTTATTACTAAAATTTCAGGTCCATTAAAAACATTAATTCGTTTTCAATCACAGCATATGATATTTACATAGTTTCAAATTTTCGAAATACAAATCCCTTCGCTATGCGCTTGAGTGATTGCCAAGCAACATAATTTGTTTTGAAAAAGATGAGGAATTTTCGATAATCATATAATATATCATATCATACGAATATGTACAAAGTACTTTCAAAGATACAGTTTTCGTTATTCCTACTATATGTGTGGCTAGTAATCTGGATAACTCCTTGACATTTATTTTATTCAATGGAAAATTTTAAATCTATTCCTATTTCACATTATCAGACAGATGAAGATTTGCCCCATGCCTATGTACAAACATTCGTGCTGAAACCAATAGAGGGAAGTTTTTTTATCCAACATGATATTTTCCGTCTTGTCCTACATGATACCATATAGCAGTACGTAAGAACTTCAACTAGCCTGTGTTCAGCTTGAGGCTTGAAGCTAACATGCTAATAACTTACCAAGATAATCAATCAAGCAAGGGCGTAGTAAAAAGGGGTGAATTAGGTGCACAACCAGGTGCATCACATATTTAATACACCGATGCCGCGAACAAAATTCACATAGCCAGACACAGGGAAATTCTTTGGGTTCGTAAAGAATCAATGAGTTGGCCCTGTCATTGTAAGGCTACCTTATCGTACGAGTATTTCACTTGAAGTAACTACAGTGTTATCGAAATATGTCTTGTTTTTGGGAACATTATAGACACCTGATCATTTGTGAAGTTTTCACAGTTACTATTGATTTTCATCTAGTAACAGTCGGGTCAATTCAAGGTTCAAGGGCATTTGACCTTGTTCATAAAAATTTCGCTTTCGCTGAATTTTTTATCCCTTATTCAACTTGTTCTGTCTGTTGAAATCTAGCCCTTGTAGTTGTTATTACTACGCCCTTGCAAGGAAGGTGTTCACCAATCTGATAATACAGTTTATGATACAAAACCGTTCTTATGATGACTATTTTGATAATCATATCAGTATCAGTATGTAATTTTCACAGTTGGTGGACATCATATCATAACAGTGATGGACATTCTAGGAACATTATCATAATGCATTCATTTGATGAATTTAATCAACCATTGGTTGAACACAGAAAATGCAGAAAAATTGTACTTTCTTTACCGAGAAAAACAAGTATATTTTGGGAGAAAAAATTAATTTAGAAAAGTTGTCCAAATAATTCAAGTATGAGACATTTGTTGGAAATAAGTACCTACCAAGCTTACCTATAATTGTTGTAAGATGAAATCAGTAAAATTCTAAATTAGTCCCGCCTATTTTGTTCGGACTATTTTTATTCCCTAATTTTATCGAAAATCATAACATCAATGAAACAGTTTTGATTCTATTGAATAATCACTTTTATATCATTATTCTAAACTTTGTATATAAACCATTGTTTATGAATCACAATCAACTACTGTTCTTAATCGGTTATCAACTTGATTTGTCGTATCATGTATATTACTGAAGTCTGGCTTGCTGAAGAAGTCCGGCTTGCCAAACAGTATTCAAGTTGCGATAGGAGTATTCGTGGAGTAACAACTTGCAGCTATGCGAGAGATAATAAATTATGTTAATGAAAAATTTGAGGGAGTACATCAGTCTTTCAAATATTTGATGAGTGACATGTAGATAAAAGGTGCAAATTATATGGCTTTGTCAGAAAAAGCAACATCCAGCGTTTGAAGAATGAAGACATTGAAAGAAAAAAATCATAAAAAATCATTAGCTTCCCCAGTAAAGATCCCTTCTTTGATAACTTCGATATCAGACTTATTAGGAGGATTTTTCCATTTATAAGTGCTATGGTTGGACCCATGATGTAGTGGCGGAACTGCGAACACTCATAGAGACAAATAGATCCTTCTCAAGTCGACCAGTTGTAGTTTTTCTATGTGACGATGTCCTTCGGAAATGGAAATTCTTGAGACGCGATGTTCTAGGTGATGCAATTTCGACTGCATCTAGGTCATTGCAAAGGGGGATAACTGACAATAAGAGCATTAAACATAATAGAAGCGATAAAACGTTTCTCCGATGTTGTGAAGTTTGGAGTGATCTTGTCATAGTTTAGTCATTGATGAGTCTAATAGCGCTCCTTGAATCGACTCCAGCAACCTCAAGTAGTGATTTTAACTCAGTTGATTGATTAGTTTCTTTGATCTTGCTCGGTTCAAATTGTCGAGGAGATCTGGTCCTAGAAGTTTTTGCCATTCTGTTGTTGGAAACAAAATCTCCAAGGCCACCGAATGGTTCTTGTCCGTTTAGTGGCGATTGTAACATAGGCTTCACAACTTGTGTATCAACCTTTACCCTGACATGTTGTCGCATGTCAATTGTCTTGTCTAATGACATGCGTCAACAACTGACAGGACGCGATATATCATGTTCAGTATCATGCAATTTCATGTATCGACTATTTAGCAGTGACTTGAAATAAAAGTTAATAAAGCAACATATTATAATAACTGATTATTTATTGAATAATAAACTTCATTACATACACAAGAGAAGTATGTAACATGGTGGCAGCGGTTAGTGGAACTAAAATTCGCTTAAATCCAAAGTATATCAAAAGGAGGGAAAAGTAAAAGTGAGGTTAAGGAAATAAAGAAAACCCAAAAATTTCGTCTCTTCAGAAAGTAATATGGCTTTCAAACCACCCAAAGAATTCACCATAGGTGACAATCCAGCGGTTGATTGGGAAAGATGGCGTCAGTCATTCGAAATATTCATAGAAGTCGCCGAGCTGACCGCCAAACCCATATCACAACAACGAGCTACTCTACTGCATGTTATAGGTCCAACAGGGCTGGAACTGTATAATACATTCCAATTTGTTGATGAAGCAGGTCAATCACTCACAGGGGATAACCTAACCATTAATACAATACTGAATGGCATATCCGAACACTACAAGCCATATAAGAACCAATATCAGATACAAGTTCTTCATGGAAACACAAAAGGAAAATCAGAGCTTTGATGAATTCCTAACTAACCTAAGAATATTAGCAAAAGACTGCAATTTCGGAGCAGTCACTGAGGAACTTATAGCTTTCAGAATACTTTGTGGCATTAGAGATCAAACCACAAGGGACCTGTTACTTAAAGAGAGTGATTTACAACTTCAGACAGCAATAACAATCTGCAGGGCTGAAGAGATTGCAAAAGTACAGAGAAAGGCTATGAGCTCTCAGAATGCTACAGAGTATTCAGAGAACCAGCAAGTAAATGTAATCAAGAAAAGAGAGCCTAAGCAACAAGGAAGTGGACCAAAGCAAGAGGAAACTTTCTTGTGCAAAAGATGTGGCAAGCACCATAAACCACGAAGCTGTAGTGCATGGGGTCTAACCTGCAAGAAGTGCAACAAGAAAAATCACCTACCAAAAATGTGCCGAACAAGGACAGTGGACGTTATTGAACAAAATGAAGATGAACTCAGTGATGACAGTGATTATGTGGGTACTGTAAATGAAAGCATTCTAGTGGAGAACATAGTCTCATGTGTGTCAAAAGAGTGGTACGAAAACATAGAACTGGGTGAAAAAATTGTCAAGTTCAAAATGGACACTGGCTCACATGTAAACATCTTACCAAAAAGAGTGTTTGATACTCTAAAAATCAAAACAAAAATTGAGAAAACACAACGTACCATCTCAAGCTACACAGATCATGAAATACCAGTTGTTGGAATAGTCAAACTAAACACCAAGCTACGTAACAAAGAACATGTCAGGGTAAAGGTTGATACACAAGTTGTGAAGCCTATGTTACAGCGATGACGCCCCTTTTCGTTCTAAAATGTCTGTTTGGTCATTCCCCCCCACAAAAGAATCACCCCGTTGTTTCTGCGCAGAATATTATATTTATCTTGGCTTTCCCAAACCATATTTGAAGGTTGATGTTAGAAGAGCGCAACGCTTTGATCTGCTTGGCTATTGGAGAGGATAGCGATTTTCTTGTTCCAGTATTTTGCGTCGATGCAGCACTTTACTATGACCTGAATTACCGCAATAAAAACTCTGGAGAAATGGCCTATCGGCTCGTAATAGTTAGTGCGAGGCCTAGAGACTCGTCGGACTTAACAGACCCGTGCGTATACCATACTATGGTATTCTTTCCCAGTTCTTGAATGGATTCTGTGCTTCATTCCTTCTTGGTATTGGTAGGTTGGATGGTGACAGATGCGCTGCGACCTGATTAGATCTATTGTGCCCCATCTGCTTCTGCTATATCAAGGATTTCTTGTTCATAGCAGCCCCTCGAGATTCAATTCCTTCAGGAAATTGAGGATTTTGAGGGGGTCTAGCTGTGGTATTTCTTCCACAGTCAGCTGGTGTGTTCCCAGTATGTTGAATCTTTTGTTATGTACAGCGTCACACTCCATCAGTATGTGACGGGGTGTTTCTGGTTCTTCCTCACAGAATCTGCAGGTGCCGTCCTCCTGTAAGCCTAGCTTCCTTAGGTGTTCTTTGAGTCTGCAATGCCCCGTTAGAAATCCCGTTATTGCTTTGAGACTTCCTTTGCTGAGGTTTGTCAGTGTCTTAAATCTTTCTCTGTTGAAATTTACAAATTTCCAAGGAGATCTTTAGCCTGCCGTAGTCCATTGTCTGGCTCTCCAGGCTCCTTCCGCCTTCTCAAGTTCTCCTTTGAAATAAGAATTTCCAAGGCCGCAGAATGGCTCTGGTCCGATCAGTGGCGTTGAAGCCTCTTATCGTGCCAGAGTGTCTGCTTTTTCATTCCCCTCCACTCCAATATGCCCTGGCACCCAGAGGAGGATCACTTTATTGTTGCCGCCTAGCTCATTCAATTTGCTTAGGCATTCCTATACCATCTTCGAGTTGATTTAAGGAGAGCTCACCGCTTTGATGGCTGCTTGGCTATCGGATGAAATCGCGATGTCCTTCTTCCGGTATTTCCGGTATAGGTTGAATTGGATTCATCTTCCTATGGCGTGTATTTCCGCTTGAAGAATGCTGGGGAATTGTCCCATGGATTCGAAGTATTTGCTGCGAGGCCCAAAGACTCCTGCTCCAGTTCCCTCGGGTGTTTTGGACCCGTCCGTATACCAAGTAATGGTGTTTCTTCCCAGTGATTCGATGGATTCTATGCTCCATTCGCGCTTGTTGCTCAGCTCCACTCGGAAGTTCTTCTCAAAACTGAACTTCCTAATGATTTGGTCTGTTGGAAGATCGGCGAGGTGTGGGGGTCGAGCACCTTGCACTGTGCGTTTTCCCTCTTAGTCCGACCTTGGCTAACCTGAGATGTGCTCCATAGGCAGTTCTCCTCACCACGATATGTAGAGGTGTGAGATCCAAAATGACCTCTAGTGCTGCAGTCGGAGCTGATCTCATTGCTCCTGTTATGCAAAAACATGCTTGG